CAGGAGGAGCTGTTCCATCAGCTTTCCAGGGACGGAGGTGAGGCTGACGCCTGGAGTTTCCTGCCTCCTCCTTCTTGCCCTTTTTGGAGACTGCGGTGACCTTGGCTTTCTTCCAGTCCTCAGGCACCTCTCCTGATCTCCAGGACCTTTCCAAGATGATGGAGAGTGGCCTAGCGATAACATCCGCCAGCTCCCTCAGCACTCGGGGGTGCATCCCATCGGGGCCCATGGATTTATGGATGTCAAGTTTGGACAAAAGATCTCTAACCCGATCCTCCTCCACCAAGGGAGAGTCTTCCTTTCTCCAGCCTTCCTCTCTTGTCTCCAAGGTCTGGAATTCCTCAGGACTGGCCTTAGCAGTGAAGACGGAAACAAAGAAGGCATTCAATAACTCTGCCTTCTCTGTATCCTTTGTCAACAGGGCACCTGCCCCATTCAGCAGCGGGCCCACGTTTTCCCTCGTCTTCCTTTTGCTATGGATGTATTGGAAGAAGGCCTTCTTGTTGTCCTTGACATCCCTTGCCAGATTTAATTCCAACTGGGCCTTAGCCTTCCTTGTCGCATCCCTGCACGCTCTGACAACGTCCCTGTATTCCTCCCAAGTGGCCTGTCCCCTTTTCCACATTCTGTACACTTCCTTCTTCTGCTGGAGTTTTGCCAGGAGTTCCTTGCTCATCCATGCAGGTCTCCTGCCCACTTTGCTGGACTTTCAACACCTGACAGGCAGGATCAAAACTATGAAGCACTTATGTGGTCCCACTTTTCCTCATTTTTGTTGAAACTATTCTCATTTATTATGTTGTACATGTATTCTCAAATATTTATTCAGATACAGGAAATTAGGCAGATACCTCACTGCACAAACAATACTTTCAGTTTTCTTCAATCCGTGTAGGAAAAAAACAGTAGAAACAACAAGAAGTACTTACCACTTGGCTGCCCCCGGAGGAAGATGAATTCTGCAAACAAACAAAAAAATCTAGAAGTGTTCCCACACAATGGTTTTGAACACACAGTTTTGTCTGTGATCGATAATGTTTTAATAGCCTAACCAACAGAATGGTTTTAGGTTGTTTAAAAAGCTAACAGCTTTGTGTAGACAAAGTACGTAGCTGTAGTTCTGCACTCTGTCTATTCCATCTTACATGTGAAAAATTTAGCTAAAATTGATGAAAGGGCAAAGGTCTATTTTTTTTCTCTCATTCCATACAGTTTTCATACCTATTGTTGAAAGAGGTTGTTAAAAATTGAGGAGTACTGAAAGAAAAACAGTGCAAAGAAGGATAAAGATACCTGTTAGTGAAAGACACAAAAATCTAGCTTATGAAAAAGAAGATGAATGATTACCTGAGCAGAGCCTGTAAAAATCTACACAGAAAACAGGAATTTGAAAATAGAGGACAGCAAAATGTAACAAGGCCAGTAACTCGAATGCTAAGACAGACAGATTCAGGCTTAAAATAAGGTTTCTTCTTTATGTAACAGAGGGGGGCCAATATTGAAACTGCCTCCCCAGGCTGAGCCAGATTTTCCACAGCTATTTCTTTAAATATGCTGCCATACAAAAGGAATTAATACGCAATGGTCTCTTCAGACCTAATCACCCATAAATTGCTCTATTGACCATCCAGGTTCCTTGTTTACTAAAAAAGACGACAATGCTGTGATGAAAGGGTTCTCACCTGTTTACCAGAATAAGTGCTTCCTGAGCTAGAGGAGCCCTGTAAAATTATTAAAAAAACATTTATTTTTGTTGTAAGAGACTCTTAATGAATAATGTTTGATGAGCACACAGTACTTTGAACATGCCCTGAATAGCGGTAGTTCTGAGACTGACTTTCATTTTAATTTTTTTTTCCTTGCACTTTTTTTCCTCTGTTCAAGTGAATGGTCTCAAATAAGCACAGCTGTGTCCCCTTTACTCCATGAACAGTGCCAGAGGATTTTCAAAGCAGGATATCATTCTAACTGAACTACAAAATTTCAAACTGAAACAGCTTCTGATTATTTATCCTGTTGTTTAAATACATTATCCTTAATAGAATGAATACCAATGACTAAGTAACAGAGTAGGTCAAAACTTTGTTTTTAGGAGGAATGAATACTGCCTCATCCTCATATTCAGGTTTGAGGACAATATTCTGTTTTAATTTATTGGTCAGTTTTCTCAGACATATATCATTAAAAAGTAATTCAAAATCTCACCCTCATTACTGTTACCTATTTTAAATACCAATATCCACATTCCCAACATGGAAAGAAAAATATTTTGAGGAATATCCTTACTGGCTTTCCTTGATGACTGCCTCCTGAGGAAGATAAACCCTGAAAAAAAAAAATTAATATCCTTCTTTGACTCTAAGCCTATTTGTACTTAAGATTATTTTTGTTGTCTGGAATAAAGGACCACAGGAGAATGAACACTATTTTCCTGTCCAGTCACCTCAAAATCCCAGGGAAAAGCTTATCTGAAAATAAGAATGTTTAACATATTTCTGTTATAGGTGTTCTTTTGAATGATGTATATTAGTCAAAGAGAATTTAATTATAAGTTCTCAAGAAAAAGAGTTGTTTTCTAGTAATAATATGTTTAATATATAAAAAGGAAAACATAACAAGGTCCAGTTAACCATTAATTTGCTTGGAATCAGTCTACAGGTAGATCTGAAAAAAAGGTAAATGTTACAATAGTCTTTTACTCTACAGCCCTACTTGAAGAAAGTTTTAACAAGGGAGTTATCTGAAAATAAAAGTGGATGCTGAAAAATTAAACATTCTGCAAGACTCTTGTTCAGTTTTTTTTTTTTTGACAAAGCTGCTCTTGTTTGAATGTTATTGCCAATAGGAAACCTTCACAAGCAAAGCCTCTTCAAGAAATGCAATCAAACATCTTACTCAGAGGGTCTCACTTTTATGACTCAACTATATGACAATGTAACAATTTTTACAACGCTTTAATCAACAGGTAGATGAGATGCATTTAAAGTCATTGAAAAGTGAACCTGAATACAAAGTGTGTGACTACTATGGATTAAAACAGAAGTAACTGCTCAGAAAAAGTCCCTTTACAAAAAATAAAGGTCCTGTATTCTCTTCCATGATTACTAGAATTAATCCGGAGAATGACAAGTTGTTCAGTTACCAAATAAAACGCTGGCTCAAAACTATGGAACTGAGTCAGAATAGCAATTGTGTTGACATTTGCTGAGATTATCCTAGATAAATAAATCATCTAACACTCTCATATTACTTTACCCTAAGTAAAGTAATTCATGGAAAAACATTTGGTCCATAACTAACTGGATATAATTTTTCTTCAGGCTTACAAGAAAAAACAAAAAGGTCAGTATGAAAAGCTTTACTTACTGGTTTACCATGTGGTTGGCCTCCAGAAGATGAGCCCTATAAGAAGAAAATCAAACACATATTACTTAAACGTAAGACATCTTTATTTGGCCAACAGTCACAAAACACCTGCTAAGTTCATTATCTGACATAAATATACGTATATAAAGTGTCTTCTTTAGTTATAGGTCTGTTCAAGACAAAAAAAAATCTCTATTTTATTTGCTATTTTCTGCTAGGTGAAACATGCATTCAGAGAGCATCGTGCATAATTTTTTCCCCTCATATTTTCAAATATTCTTTTGAGAATAATGTGATTTGTTTTAAAGTATGTAAAAATTGAATTATTTAGATCCTTCCCTTTTCCATAATATAAGAGATGGTCTGCTTAATAGAGTCATACTGCAACTCAAACGCTTGCCTATAAAGTAAAAAGAAATTGAGTTGTTTTTCCAGTATAGCAGAGTGAGACGTTAAGAAGAGTAATACTAATGAAAAATATGTTCCTTCTTCATTATCAAATAGCCATCCATTACATCTTTTAGCTGTCTGTGACAAACAGTGACAACCATTAACCCTACCAAGGGAGATGATGTTCTTAGGAAGGGTACATAGGGAGTTGGTTACAGTAAGAGATTGATATTGCAGCGGAAGATGAGAAAAGAAGTATTACTGTGGGTAAAACCCCAAAATCTTTTATTTTCAAAGCAATATCCATGGATTTGTTTTGCACTAATTTTCCAACAATTTATTCTAAACTAACACAAACATGCCTTTCTAATAATTGGATAATTTCAATATAATTGAAAATGACACAGAAAAGAGGTTTTAAACTAGTGTTATAGTGGTATGAAACTGGAACACAAAAATGGCTGATTAAATTATCACTTGAGTTAAGAGGCATTCTAAAGCAAAACAACTGAAATTGTGATCTATGCAGTTCCTTTAAATGAAGTTTGTTGATGCTACTCCCTTTCAGTTACTCAGAAATATTGATCGTTTGCAGATGTTCCTTGAGAGTAGAATGACTCTTTGAAAAAACTGTCAGTAAACCCACTGCATCATATTTTTCATTTAATAAATAGCTTGTAGGAAGAAGACCTTAAAAACGAAGAGTTGCTTACCTGTCCACCATACTGACTGCTTCCAGAATAAGATGAACCCTGCAAAAAAAATGTGAAACTCAACTTTTGTAAATTATTTTTTTAAGTATCAACTGGCACCAAAAAAATTGGACCTAATTTAAACAACAATCATGACATCAATGTGGAAACATTGATCAACAACATCATGACATCAACAATCATGACATCAACTGGAAAATCCTTACACAGTTATTAATACAAAGGAAAATGGCTACTTATCAGGAAACCATATTAACAGTTTATGCAATGGAATGAATCCGGTGAACTTTCCTTACATGTTATTTCCAGTTAAGCAGACTTATAAAACTGCAAAGTAAAATCTGGTCTCTAGTAAATTCAGCAGAGACTTTATAAAAGGATATGACTGAATCTGTATAAATGCTGAAGAAATACTGCTTACCTGTCCACCATGGTAGCTGCTTCCTCCAGAAGAGCCCTGTATTAAACAAGAAATAGGAATAGTTACCTTTTTTATAAAATTCAATCCCATGTAGAGGACAAACATAAGAGAACATCTTGACCTACAGCATTAATCAAGTCATTTGCACTGATTACCAATATACTTTTGTATTTAGTGGATTAAACAAGTAAAGGACTTAGTTTCTATTAGTCCTTATTCCTTCAGATTGTTTCCTTGTAAAAAGAAGCTAGCTACTAATTTATATGTTGTTTCCAGCACTTAAGATGCTAGTGGTATATTCATGGCATGCATTTTTTGCTTGATTTCATAATCTGAGAGAAGAAGTCATCTAAGCAATTATGGCTATACTTAGACAACAGTTAACTGAACCCTCCTCAAAAGTAAATTAGATTCAACATTTATCATTTCAGCACAGTGTGAAACAACTTTTAGTATGTATATAAATGCACAGAAAGAATTATTTCAAGGAATGTAGTTGCTTGGGAATTTTCCAATTACATATACTATGAAAAATATACAGTAAGCAACGAATACTTACTGAACTTCCACCAGGACACAGACATCCACCCTGTGTAACACAAAACCAAACTAATTTTCTAGAGAGTGCATGACTAGAAGAGGCCTTTGAATTAGCAAATCAAACTTAAACCCTGCTATTGCAAGAAAACAGATCATAAAATCTTGCTCATAGACTCATCAAGTTCCATCTAGAAAGTAGTTTCTTTCTCTCTCCCTTCACCTTCCTTTCAGTATAGCTGTACACTTACTGATCTAATGCTTAAATATGGTCTTCTAATTTCTCACTTAAAGTTACGGCCCTACACATCAAAACAGTGTAAAAAGTTCTGAGCAGTACTATGGAACATGTAATTGTTTTTTCCTTAAAGAAGCCAGAGCACCTGGACTACCTGCAGTATTCTTTCATGCCACAGATATTATGGAAAACACTAAAGATGACTTCCAGCGGAGGACTACCAAGTGCTTTCTACCCTGAGGCAACTAACTGAGAGGTGGCCAGTAGCTCACCATTTGGTACTTCACTTTTTACATTCAATCTGCATGAGATGGGTAATCCTTCCTTTGTGAAGGAAAAATGCTCAAGGTAAACTGAGAGTGACTGATATTTGCATAACTGAATGCTGTGGAGAAAGAAAAGCATACCTGTCCACCAGACTGGCCGCCTCCTGAAGAAGGTGAGCCCTGGAAAAAATGTAAACTATTTATTTTTGTGTTACTGAGTAACATTCTCCCTTCTCTGTCGTCCTTGGTGTTTCAACTTGCTTCTGTTTAAAATAACCTCAAAAATGTGCTTCTTGGATCCTGGGTCAGTTTAAGGAAGCATTTCCAATGCACTCATGTCATGATCTGACATACCAGACCAATGCATATTTAGCAATCTTCAGTCGCTTCTGCTTAAAACTATTCTTTCTTTGAATGTTCCTTTTTTTGCCAAAAAGTACAGAAGAATCAGTTTTCTTAAAGAACTGTGTACCAAAACCATATGTACTATGAAGGGAGACGTTTTACCTGTCCACTATACCGGTTGCTTCCTGAAGAAGCAATACCCTAAAGAAATGAGAAAGCATTTATTTTTATTGCTTAGATAGTCTTACAGGAAAACACACTTTTATTTTTCTTCTGTGGATTTAAATGCCACAGGAATGTGAATACTTCATTTGTGAGCATTTTAAAATCTAGCGGCCTTTAAAGTGGCTACAGTTTAAATAGAACAGTAAAGGTTTAAATCACAGCAGCTTCTGGCAGATATGAGTAGAGTGCAGGTGCATTGGATGCAACACTCACAGCAGGCTCATATGTTTTACTTTTGCCCATGCTCTCACACAGCAGAGGGTCTTACACTCGTCTATTCTGACTAAGCACTTTAAGCCACCCTGTAATCAGGTACCCTATTTAGCACAAACAAAGAAAGAGAGAAAGATAAACCACAAAAGTAAACCCCATGAATGAAAAAACAATTCTCACCTGTCCTCCATAATGGCTGCCACCTGAGAAATACGGACCCTGAAACAAAGATATCAATTAGCTCTCTACCAAAAGGCTTCTTCAAGGGTTTTTTTTTGAAAGAAAGACAATTTTCTTTTTCTTTTGTGCAATGAGGGATTACAGAAAGATGAACACTCTCCTTTGCTCATCCTATTCCTTTACGTGTTATATGTAAACTAGGGATGGGCTGTACCATATGAATCTTCCACAACACTGATATCAAGGAGTGATCATGGGTTATTAGGATTCTACACATAGGTGTGTTTTGGGAGACTCTGCTGGGACTCAAAGTCTTTTTCTCCTCTGATTCCCTCTCCAATAAATTTGACGATACATGTTTTCAGAGACCAAGGACCAGTCTGCTGGGGACTTTACTGAGTACTAAAGGCTATACTGCAAAGCAACATCACAAACCCTCTCCATTTTCCATTTCAGAAGGGCATGGAACACCTTCCCTTATCAATTCCTGACCTTCTCCCCCTTCCCTCTGAGGACCTTCCCTCCTCCTCCTGTCCACCTCTCTTCGGTAGAGGACTTTCTATCCCAATACAACCCATTCCCTTCCTGAGACATCTTGCTTCTCTCTGATACTAACTTGGATCTTGTGCTTTGCTGAGAGGGAAGGTATTCCATAGGTTGAAGCAGAAGAGGAATGCAGTCTACCTCTGGCCACTCCCTACTGTTTGAGTTAAGAGACCGTGACAACGGTAGCAGAAAGGAAAATGGGTTTGGAATGAGCAGGGCCGAGGGGAAAACAAGGCCAGAACTGTATTTACTGTGATCCAAAAGAAGTACTGGCCATTAATAATTTTGTACTGCTTCAAACCATATACTTTTAGAACCATGATATACCCAAAACCACATTAAACAGAGTTTACTCAAAATAGTACTTTTTATAGTCAATATAAAAGTACCAAGTTTTGGGGTAAAAGGTGTGCATTGGATAAAGATTACACAGAAGGAGATTCTCACCTGTCCACCATACTGGCTGCCTCCTGAGAAATGTGAACCCTGAAGAAAAAGAATTAAATATTCTCTATATCCATTTCATGAGACTTCTTAAACAATGGCCCATTTGAAGAAGAGGTATCTAATTTCTTTCAGAGGAAAACTATGAGTGGGCTGGACCAGACTGCACAAAAAGGCATGAGAGTCTTATTTGCGTTTACCATGATGCATAAGTTTCATCTCCTACAAATTTGCCTGTGGTTTCGTATCATGTACATTTATAACAACTACAAACCTTATAGCAAATAAAATAGAACATGTAAAATCAGTCTACTTAAAATGCTCTTCTACACAGAGTAGAGAACTATTAATTCTCTTGGATGAAATCATAAACACTACCAGGGAAGAATTCTCACCTGCCCACCATGCTGGCTTCCTCCTGAAGAGGGTGAACCCTGAACAACAACAACAAAAAAAAAAAATCTTCTCTACACCTATTTCATGGGGCTTTTAAAAATGTTGGTCAACTTGATGGAGACATACTAATTTATTTCAGAAAGACAGGACATCTTACTCCAGAGAACTGTATTCACACTCAAGCACATTTATGACCTAGTCCTGCAAACAGCAGCAGCCAACTGAGACAACCACGTATTTCATATTGTGTTTCTTAATCTTAAACCAAATTCAGATGAGGACTGTATTTGTTTAAACATGGTAGGACTATAATGCCACAGAGAAAGATGTACTGAAAAGATTTTAGCTTAAGATAAATAAGGTTCAGGTAGACAGCTGGGTAGACAATGAGTAAGATGCAAGATATGCATTGGGTAAAATTACAAAAGCAGCGACTATTAATGCTTACTTGTCCACTGTAACTGCTGCCTCCGTAAGATGATGATCCCTGGAAAAATATTGAAAATCAGACATCTCTGTTTCATGATGTATTTCTAATTCATAGGTATGAGATGCAAAGACATCTACATTTTGTTATTTTACTTGTAAAGTTGTTTTGCTTGTAAAGTTTGCAGAATAAACTATATTTTTGTCTTCCTTGAATTCACAATGATACAGCAGAGAATGGATCAATATAAAGTTTCTTGAAATATTAAATTGAAGTAGCTATCTGGATAATCCTTTACTTGATAACAGTCAAATACTGGTAGAACAAGCAAATCATACAAAAATATTGAAAGTGAAAGCTTACACGTTCTCCATACTGGCTAGCTCCAGAATAGGAACCCTGTAAAAGACATCAAAGCAATGAATTATCTGCCATAGGATCTCCCTAAATCAAAACATGAGTCTCCTAGCAATGGGAACAAGAGAGCAAAATAAGAGTGAATACAAGCTAAAAATTAGAGTTCGGACCTTATCAGATAATCTGGGGAAATACCTGAGCTGCCAATCTATACTGAAACTTTCTCTTATATTTTAGGAACGCTTGCTTCCCTTGATAGCTATAGTAAAGATGACACAGTACTCCTGAAGGCATTTTTTCCCCTTTATTCTGCAGATATAATAAGGAAACCACTATCTCTTTGGAAAGACCAGAACAGAAATTGAATTCCCTTCCTTGCATCTTCACATTCCTCAATTTTCAGGGATTAAGAACAACAAATAACAGTTTTTGCACAAACTAGCATATGCTCCTATGCCTATCAGACAAGTGCTCATGTGATGATATTCTTGTGGAAAAAAATCACATATACATTGATTAAAGGGTTCTTATCTCTCCATCAATATCACTTCCTCCTGAAAATGATAAGGAATAAAATAAGGCAGTATTCACCTTAAACTAAGTTTCTTTTTCGTCAAGCCAAACAGCATGGCTTCCAAAAGTACATCCATGAAACAATTCTTTTTGCCTGGACATGATAATGTTTTCTGTGTTTTTAATTTTTCTTTTTTCTTTTTTTTTTTTTTTTTTAATGACACACATCCTCTGTTTCTGGAGAATCACCACATGGTGCTGTTAATGATGATATTGAGCATGGCCCACACCTCTTCCCTGTCACCATGCTTTGTAATCAAGAGTTTGACATTCAAGAGAACACTGCAGCATCATTTGGGACTCATGAATACAGCAAGAAAGGGTTGGTTACCAAACTGGACTCTGAAACCAGACCAGGCAAGTTTATTGAAACCTCCTGCGGGGAGATTGGAATTGTTTTTCTTCTTAATGGAAGCAAGGCAACTGGGAATCCAAAACATTGCATTTTTATTGCTTCCTACACCTATTTCTAGACGAAGCTTCATTACACAAATGTCGCAAAAAATAAAGGCAACTAACTAGTTGCTAAGAAGGCCATTGTGTACCCTTTTTAGGATGTAACGAACTCAAAGAAAAATTTACTGAGTTTTTGCTCTTTAAACAAAGTTTCCATATCAAAACAACAGAATTTAACTGAGTTTGTAGATAACCATCATTTTCTAAAGTGGCAAGCTGACTCTCCCTTTGGAATAACTGCTTACTTGGCTGTTGTGCTGGCTGCCTCCAGAAGATGATGAACCCTGGAAAAAATTGCAATGGGTTATTTTTCTCTAATAGAACTAATTAAATCTAATAGAACTAACTAAATCAAGACTTTTTCAAGGACAGTATTATATACATTTCTATTTTTAATTTTTCTGCTTGGGTTTAAGCTCCACTCAAAACATAAAGCCTATCCTTCATATTTGACTAATCCACCTAAAAATTGTGTACCTGTCTACCAGAACAGCTGCCTGCAGAGCCCTTTCAAAAAAGGATGAACCAGTTACTTCATTTCAAAGGGTATGATGGAAGGATAGGTAGCTTACTTCTTTCAGTTTAAAATCAGTGAACTCACTGAAGAATGGCATACCCGCAAAAAGCGTTGAAAATGCATTCTTCATATTGCTCCTGACCTTTTGAGTACTGCTAGATTTCCAAAAGGTCTGCTAAGCTCATTAAGAAATTAAACCGTTTTGTGTTTAATATGCAATGTTTAGCGTCTATCATAATTGTGTCCCTCATAAAGAAGCCTTACTGCGCAAAAAGGTGTTTCAACTGTATGCTAGACAAGATCTTAAAAGATAACATTCTGAGGTATACTGCAACATGTAGTTGGAAGAACTAAAATCTACATTCGGTACACAAAAGTAATTTTCCCATGATGAGGCACTAAGTGCATCTACTGTAGCATTACAGTATGGATCAGGAGCATGCTGTCAAGACAAATCTGATTGTCCCCACTCACTGTAATTTGGTTTGCATCATGGAGTGATCTCAGAGTGAGTGAAGTGGAGGCCCTTCAGATGAAACTAAATTGGAAGATGCTCTCCAGGAGCACGCTTAATTCCAGTATTCCAGTAGCAAAGGGGCTTTTGGTCCATGGGACCAAATTAGAACTAACTCCCTCCTGCCTCCCAAAATGTGCATAGTTTGGCCATCAGTTCATCAGCATGGACTGCTTCACTCTGTAGATCTGTTCCTATTAGTTTGCAGTACTCATTGATGTAGATAATAGCCACTACGTTCCCTGGTACAAAGCTCTCACTCCTCTAGAAAAGATCCTCTTTATACATTATCCCCGATTCAGAACTGCTGCCTCAAAGATGTCCAAGTCAGTAAAAACCCCAGTCCCAATCAGAAGTTCCACATGAAATAAAACCTACCATTTTATCAATAATATGAAGGATCTTGAACACAGATAAGAAAGGATACTTTCCTAACTACAGATATAGATGTGCTCCTCCTTCCTAAAGGGAGCATAAGGCCAGACCTATTTGTCACATAATATTAATTTTTGTATGGTACATTTATTTATCTGTATCCAAGCCAGTTTTATACTTGCTAGCAGTCTGATAACAGCACCATAGAGTTTGGTGCTAGATACAGAAAGACCCAAGTGTTTTTTCTCCTTTTAATACAGCACATACAGAATTCCAGTGACATATGCTGTGTGACCTTCTACCACGTGATGAACACAAGTGGTCTTCGGTACTCTGTAAATAGGTCTCTCCTCCAAGAGTTCTTTTCCATATTAGAGGGCTAACATCATGAAATTACTGATCTATTAAATATTCAACTATTTCTTGAAGTGAATGTTCTGAGAGGAATACAAATATATGAACCCACGTTCTTAGGTGATATTTTGGCATAATTCCATGGAAATCAATGGAACTGATTACCAACCAAGGTAAATATTTATATTGTTGGCACAAACCTGTGTTTGTGCCAAAGAACATTCTTCATTCAAAGACTTCTTTTTGAACGAATACTATTTCAAATGGAAAGAGGAACTGTGAACGCTGCACAAATGTCCTAGGCGTACTTTTAGTTGTAACTAAGGTAGGTTATATTCATGAATGTATGATTTCTATTAGATACTGACTCTTTTTAACCTCTCTAGCCATCATATTGACAAAACAAACACAGGGCACACTGAAAAAGCTGATGAACACTGCTTACATTTGCAGAGGAATCACTTCTGGCTAAGGTAGGAGATCCACTCTGAAAAAAAAAAAAAAAAGGGAGGAATAAAGTAGTCTCTACTTTTGATCATAAACGAAAAATAAAATTAAACCTTAGAACAGCTCTTCTGTGGCATTTTCAAGGAAAAAATATCACAATCTGAACTTATCTTACACTTCACTTACTTTACTTAACTTCCCAAGATGGCCAATAGTCTTTTTTGGCCTGAAAGACTGTAAATCACAAAGAATTATTTTGCATCCACCTATGGCTGATTGCCTAGAAAATAATAACACTACCCAAAGTTCATGACTCTCCTTTGCACATTACAGGTTGATTCACCAAATACTATTTGCTTTGGAAAGCAATTATTACCTTATTTTTATAGTCTCTAAATAATTTCATATGGACTTTTCTTAAAAGCACAAATGAGAAGTGGCTCTAACAGATTTTTTTCATTTGATAAAGACTGGCTTCTGAGGCAACTTTCTGACACAACTTTTTATGGTTGGCAGTTTTGTAGAGTAGTATCATTTTACTTTCCCTTCGTGATAGATTTTTTCCTCCATTAACTCTGCTATTTAATGCAATCATAGAGAGTTCTGTTCTAGAGCAAAAAATTACTGCTTTTCTGTAGTTTTTTTTTGAGATGAGATATACAAACATTATATAACAACTGAAAATCACTGTTTAGTAAATATAAATGCTGCCAACTATGGGGACACCAAATTCTTCATTTTGGCATAGTGAGAAATAAATCTTGCTGGCAGGATAGAAGTTATGTCATCAAAGGAACACTGAACATAAACTTAACAATACATTCAAATAATTAAATAATGTAATAATGTAGAAATAAATAGGCCTGCGGCTCATTTCCCAATTAAATAAATAGTAAAAGAAATATATAACGAACAAAGAAAACTTACAGAGGTCCCCCCAGAACAATCACATCCACTCTGTAAAGAACACAGAAAATGTGTAAAATCTCAGGAACATAGCACGGAAAGGGAGACTTGTTACAACTCAAACTCCTTTCTCTACCATCATAGATATCCAAGACATAAAATTACATTCATAACTGTCCAAATGCCTTCTAGAAATTGGTTTTTGTTCTCTTAATCCCCTATAACTATTTCTGCCCTTATCTCTCCGATGGTGTAAAATCTTCGAATTTTATTATCTTCAAATCTGTTATCTATAATCTTTATCTTAAAAACCCTGCTGACTAAAACCCTGCTGTAAAAAGTTCTGAGCAGTACTATGGAACATGTAATTTTTTTTTCCTTAAAGAAGCCAGAGCACCTGGACTACCTGCAGTATTCTTTCATGCCACAGATATTATGGAAAACACTAAAGATGACTTCCAAGTGCTTTCTACCCTGAGGCAACTAACTGAGAGGTGGCCAGTAGCTCACCATTTGGTACTTCACTTTTCACATTCAATCTGCATGAGATGGGTAAGAGGAAAAATATTTAGCGTCATAGTGGGTACAGAAGCTCAAATACAACTGCCATCCAGACAGATGGCTACTCCGGCCTCAGGCATCTCTGAACGACACAGAAAAAGAAAAGAACGTGTTGCTGAGACTTTGGGCAAGAAGGACAGTGGTGAAGGAAAACAGTTTTTGTGAAGGAAAAATGCTCAAGGTAAACTGAGAGTGACTGATATTTGCATAACTGAATGCTGTGGAGAAAGAAAAGCATACCTGTCCACCAGACTGGCCGCCTCCTGAAGAAGGTGAACCCTGCAGACAGTTATATTTTCATTTAAAAGATATTCTTTAACTTTCACATATCTTTTACTAGCTTAATTATGTCTGAAAATATCAATTTGGTTAAGAACCCTATTTTATCTATAGAAATTTCAATGAGGATTTATAAAAACATAATAGTCTAGAAACTTACAATCCTCTCTTGAACGATGTACATTGCAAATAATATAATACTGTGAAGAAAAATTTCCCACCTGCCCACCATACTGGCTGCTTCCTGATGAAGATGAGTCCTGAAAAAAAATGGAAACCACTTAACTTCCGTTTCAAAAATACTCCTTATATCAAATATTTATTACTTGCATTTGTTGCTTAGTGTTAGAGCACTATTAATACACGAATGGTATTTTGACCACTCTGCTTCCATTTGGACATTTATATAAGGATATATGAAAAGGTATTTCAGTATCAAACTACTTTTGTTTCAGGATATGCAACATGATGAGTCAAATTTTTGCATAACAGGTACATTAGGTCAAAAATATGAAGAGTTGGTGTTTACCTGTCGACTGGAGTAACTACCACCATGAGAAGATGACGCCTGTAAAAGGTAGAGCCAGTTTATTTCTGTTTAAACGGGCTTCTTGAAATCAAGACTACGTTGTTGAAGTCATATACACACTTATTTTCACTTCTGTTTGCTTTAAAAAAATTGCCATTGGATTTCACAAGTTACTTATGATGCCGTATGTCAGAGAAATTCTAGAAACAGATGAAACTTAGTTGGGCATAATTTACTTGTAGAAGGTCAATTTTTAATACAACAGTCACTTTGGAGGAGAACTGTAAATAATTAACAAAATTGATGCCTACATGACCACCTGACGGGTTGCCTCCTGGGGAATAAAAATCCTGTAAAAAATGTATTGGAAGTACATGATAAAATGAAAAACAGACCCTCTTTTGTAGCGTGGAAATACTATGACAGAAGGTGAACACTCCTCAGCTTTCTGTCAGGGATTGTTTAAGAATAACAAATAACTTCTCTCTGCACAAATTAGCATGTGCTCCTCTGCCTATGAGACAAATGCTCATTTAATGAAAGATATTCTTTTGGGTAAAATGATTAAAGAGCTCTTATTTCTGTACCAGAACCACTTCCTAGTCTTCCACGTTCCATTCCCATTGGAATTAATAAGATGGGGTAAAAATGACAGGAAAATGGAAGCCCTCATAAATAAGTCATAAAGTGAAAAAAGCAGAGTTTCAGTTAGAATAAATGCTGGATGAAACAGAGTATGGAAGCCTTCTGCAATAAGGCAATGAGTCAAAGGGCAGAAACTTGAGTAAGTAAATTGTGGCACTATGCTTCTAACTGTGAGTTTGAATTCAAGACACATCGCGGCATCATTTGGGACTCATGATAATCCTGGAACACTCCAACCATACCCTCTGTGTCTTAATTGAGGACTTTCTATCCCATGCTGGAATCTGCCACACCAGCAGGACACAATGTAATACAGGTGGCTAGCAGCTGCCAGTCCTAACAAGCATTTGGACAGAGACCCAGAGAACATGGGAAGGAGGAGTGCTTACCGCTCCACTATGCTGGCTGCCAGATGGTGTGGGGGAATCCTGTAAAATATTAGAACCCAGTTATTCCATTAAACATTTCTGTTTCCTTTTAAGCAAGGACAGAAGACCTTCCTTGTTGGGAAGGTTTAAGACATAGGCTGTAGGATGAGCAAGATTCTTTCAAGTTCTCCACTCATTCCTGGAGAGAAGCATTTCTTTATGTGGAAAGATTCATACTGGGCCAAGGCTAGCACGACAGGGCTAGCTGACTGATGAAACCATTAAAAAACCTGAAAATCTGAATAACTAATGGTGATCTATTTAACTACGTGCAATTTCTTTAAAAAATTGCAGATATTTGCTATGGAGTAATAAAGGAAGGAGATTGCATTGTAATCTACATTAAAATAGTATAGGGGAAGACATCAGCCCTTTAAAAGATGTCCTGGGACACACCAATGTTGTTATACCTTAGTTTCATATGGCACAGGGGCCTTCTGTAGTAGTAAATTTTAGTTTTGCTGGAGTAATACCCAGAAAAAAATTCTGATACAGAAGCCCTGTGAGGAAACCGACAGCGCATAATATTTGTGGCTGAAATGGGCATAATAACCCGTAGTGAAAGGTGTTCCGAAGTACACAGCTGAATTTATACAAATTTATGGAGACCAACGTCCTCACTGACTTTGTAGAAATACAGTTAAGATAGAATCCACTGCTTAAGACTCAGTGAAAATAAGATTTGGAAAATTTTATAAAAACCTATACCAGAATTAATAGGAAATATATTTTAGTCAGGAAAATGCATGTCCTTAAGCAGAAAAGCAAATAGTGCTCATCATACTACATGAAAACAGAGCATCAGTATGCAATATGCAAAGGAAGAAACTTGAATCTTCTCATATATCTGGCATTGGAAGAACACAAAGGGAGTGGGTATAATATGACCTTGGGATGGAAGGGGAGGGAAGTACAGTCTCTGCAGCAGTGACCATAAACGAAGTTGATTTTAAAAAAGAATAATATGAGATGATTAAGGATCAGACAGGATTTTTTTTTTCCAAAAATACATTCAAGAAAACTTTGATTTTAAAATAAATCTGGATGCCAGGAAAAATTAAATTGGAAAATTTTAATCTATGGGAAGACATAACAGAAACAATTATTATGATGGTTCAGAATAATAAACATTTAAGAGGTATACTATAAAGCAAGTTAATTTGAAAAAAATAACCCTATGAGAATAAGAAGGGTTGATCTCATGTGCTGGTAATACTGCTGTTGTTATATTATTAAATTACTGCTATTGAATTAACTCCAGTTAAATCACTGGAAACAAGAAGAATCTGGTTGCTTTGTCTATTGTGGATACATATTGATGCTAAGTTTTAAGGGAAATAGTGAAACAGAGGAAGAGATTCTCATTTTAAAACTCTGCTTCTAATGACCCATTCATAAATGCATGATTGTTACAAGTCAGAATTATCATAACCATACCAGAATAACATTACACAATTTAAATTTGCATATTTTCCTTTAACTTCGCCTATAGCAATAATACTCTTTTAAAAAGTTTTTAAAGCAAATTACTAAACATCACAAATGATTAGAATCTGCTCTAAAAATGCTCTTGAAGATAAGATGATGTGAGATATAAAAAGATCCCCATAAGCACCTAGATTTCTTAAAAGGAAGTAAATTCTCAGATTGATACACTTGAGAAGAAATGCTTACACTTTCATCAGATTCATCGCCTCCTACGGGAGGTGAATCCTGTAAAAAAATCGAAATGCATTTATTTTCATAGGAAAATGACTCTTTTATAAAATCTTACTTGTGGAAAATACAAATAATCAGAATAGAAACAATAAGACACTTAATATTTCCAATTTTACCTAAAACAGAGAATGTGCAAGAAAAGGAAAAAAATATAAGCAAAAGGAAGAAAAAAGGACTTATTGGTCAATTTGATTTTTTTCCTGATCCAAATATTTTGACTGCTAATGATAGGGAAATAAGATTTGCAAGCACTTGAAGAAAAGATTGATAACGAACTTGTACTTGCAACAGATCAGTTTTGATTTGAACATGAAGATAAAAGAGAGAATTGCATAGGAGGAAAGAGCCATAGTAGATTCCTTTAATAAAAAAAAAAGTGCAACATAGTTTGAACCGAAAAGTTTATGGTAAAAACCTAAATACACATAATAGGTTCATACATAAACCTTCCAAATGAAACTACATTGTCATATGAAAGACCAAGTGAGACTGGGGAGCCGTTCTTTATTTAACAAATTATTTATTATAATAAGATGTTAGCAATAAACTTGAGCACATAGAGCACAAGGCTGAACACAACAACAGAGGCTGATATATGGATCTTGCCTATGATAGCAAGGAAAGGGACGGTAGAATGACATACAAGAGATTTTTTTGGTGTAAAGGAGAGCAAAGGTGTAAGACAACTGAGGATTTTCCTGCATAAAAAGTGAATGCTGAAAAAAAAGTTTTGCCAAACAGCTATGTTAAATGGCTAAATAACGTTTAAATCTTGCTCATATTCTTACTTCCTTGTAAGAACCTCAGTTGTTGCTTAAGCAGAAGCAACAGGTTTTCCTTTGTAAATATGCTTTTTTGAGAAACATTTTAGATGAGGTTGATTTGCAAAATGGAACATTCTTTACATTCATAAATCCCATTTTCTATGCTTGCTTTCTAACACCCTGCACTAGAAGATACGTTTTTCTATGAAAAAAGAGTCTAGGTTATACGTCTTTCATTTTTAATGAATAATGACTTTGGGTGGTTAAAAGGTACTGCTGAACGAAACAGAAAGAAGACGGTTTCTACAAACCGGTTCTTACAGTGAGATTTACATCAGTAAATCAGCAGGTAAATTAAATACAAACTTTAAATATAGCATGTCCAGTCCCCTAGATTTTCAGCTGCTTCTGCATAATTAAGGCATGCAAAGGAAACACCTGAAGTATTTTTCCTTCTGAGTGACCTAATGTATAAACAATAATTACATGGGGGAGGAAATGTTGTACTAATTAATAGATTGAAGAATCACATTAGCACAGTAAGCAGGATTGTATCTTTAGTGCATCACCTTCCCTCCATTATGGAAACATTTAGAGTTGCAAAAAGGTAAATAAAAGTAAAAAGAAACAACAGGTAAAATGACATCTCCATGATCATTATTTAATAACAACAGAAATAAAGAACCCACAGCACAAAAGAACCAACACGCTTAGCCTCGGCATTTCACGTATAAGAGAAATAATACTTACCTCACCATAAGGTCCACCAATATCGTATGTGGAAGGTCCATCCTGTTCAGAAAACATAAATCATTTCCATATTGCAAATGGACACTTCTTTTTGAAAGGTTACCACAGGGATCCCCTTTGGGGAAGATTAAAGAAATAAGAGGAATTATTTAGTTATGAAAATAGCCATTAAAAAAACATAGTTATTTCCTTGTAAAAGATTAATTTACATACTAACAAATCAGGGTGTTTCTCAACTCATTTTACTTCCACTTTTGAAGAGACCGTCATCTGGCTGAAAATTCAAAGCAAGTATTGTTGAGGAGAATAAGCTTTAATAGCTTGAAGCTGTTAACCTCCAAAATTAAATACCACAAACCATAACTGCATTTTACATACTCCTCTGTAAACTTTCATATTGTTTAGTTAGGAGTATATTCAGTTTCACTCTTCAAAGAAAAAAAAACCTAACTGAAATAAAGTGAGAATCAAAATACAGAATATAGCTGTATATATAGGAACCAGGTTATTGGCCTTCAGCATCCTTTATTCAAGAGGAAAAAGAGTATATACCTGACCATAGGATTCGCTGCTGCTGTCATAGACAGAAGACTCGCCCTGTACAGAAAATAAAAAAAAGTTATTATTTTTCCTTCTTTTCAGAGGATTTTAGGAACCAAGAAAATAGGAGTTTGTGTTATCTTACCTGTCCATGAGATCCACCAGGATAGAAGGAAGGTCCCCCCTATACAGGAAATAAAAAAGGTCACTGTTTCGTAGTTGCAGTGTTCCCTCAAGAAAGATTTTTAGACTGCTCCTGTGCGGGGGCAACAAACAGAATATTTACCTGGTTACCAGAGTACGTGCTGTGTGAAGAACCTGGCGCTCCCTAAAAGGAAAAGCACAGACTAGCTATTGTCTTGCAGGCAAGATGGTTTAAAAATAGCAAGGTGCTCGATTCTGACATTAAGCCAATACTGTTAAAGTAGGGGAAATCTTTTGACAATAACATTCTTGGCTGATTGGAAGACCTCTCCACAGAAGTTATAGATACGATTTGTCTTTTGAGGGATTTCACACTATAGGTCACGTTATGGTTGATTCAACTGCTGGGTGCTTAACGATGGTATTTTATAACAGCTCCTGTATGGGGAGTACAGGAAACGACAGAACAGGAGTCTGTTATCATTACATGGGAGGAAAAACACTTACCTGTCCATGAGATCCACCAGGATAGAAGGAAGGTCCCCCCTATACAGGAAATAAAAAAGGTCACTGTTTCGTAGTTGCAATGTTCCCTCAAGATTTAGACTGCTCCTGTGCAGGGGCAACGAACAGAATATTTACCTGGTTACCAGAGTACGTGCTGTGTGAAGAACCTGGCGCTCCCTAAAAGGAAAACAGAGAAATTGTATTTTCTTACTAACAAGATGGTTATTTAAATACTAATGCATCCAATTTTCACTTTTCACCCTTTGAGCTGACCTTTACGTTCTATACAAAAATTAAGACCAATATTGTTGAAGTGGAAGAAACCTTTTGGCAATAATTTTCTTAGCCTGTTGAAATACGAAATCCCAGTTGAAACCTGCTGAAATCCCCAAGGAAGCTGCAGATAACATTCTGTACTGTGCTCCGTCAAACTGGACACCACTAGGTTACGCGGGGCTGATTTAAGTTTGCTGCTCTAAAACGCAGCTCTCAGGTCCATAATTGCAATACTTCACGTCAACTACAATATCAGGAATCCAGGAACCAGGGTAACAGTAGTCATTGGTTCTCTTTACAAGGGAGGAAGAACGTTTACCTGTCCATAAGATCCTCCTGGGTAGAAGGAGGATCCTCCCGGGTAGAAGGAGGATCCTCCCTGTACAGAAGACAGAATGGGTTACTGTTTTGTAGTCGGCTACTCCTTCAGGAAAGCTTCCGAGTAGGGTGATTTATCAGAAAGTTTACCTGGTTACCAGAGTACGTGCTGTGTGAAGAACCTGGCGCTCCCTAAAAGGAAAACAGAGAAATTGTATTTTCTTACTAACAAGATGGTTATTTAAATACTAATGCATCCAATTTTCACTTTTCACCCTTTGAGCTGACCTTTACGTTCTATACAAAAATTAAGACCAATATTGTTGAAGTGGAAGAAACCTTTTGGCAATAATTTTCTTAGCCTGTTGAAATACGAAATCCCAGTTGAAACCTGCTGAAATCCCCAAGGAAGCTGCAGATAACATTCTGTACTGTGCTCCGTCAAACTGGACACCACTAGGTTACGCGGGGCTGATTTAAGTTTGCTGCTCTAAAACGCAGCTCTCAGGTCCATAATTGCAATACTTCACGTCAACTACAATATCAGGAATCCAGGAACCAGGGTAACAGTAGTCATTGGTTCTCTTTACAAGGGAGGAAGAACGTTTACCTGTCCATAAGATCCTCCTGGGTAGAAGGAGGATCCTCCCTGTACAGAAGACAGAATGGGTTACTGTTTTGTAGTCGGCTACTCCTTCAGGAAAGCTTCCGAGTAGGGTGATTTATCAGAAAGTTTACCTGGTTACCAGAGTACGTGCTGTGTGAAGAACCTGGCGCTCCCTAAAAGGAAAAGCACAGACTAGCTATTGTCTTGCAGGCAAGATGGTTTAAAAATAGCAAGGTGCTCGGTTCTGAATTTTGTTCCAAATGGACATTCCTGTAACCATTAGAAGAGAATACGTGCCATTTTTGTTGTTACAGGTGAAGAAACCTTTAGCAGGAACTTTTCTTCAGGGATTAAAGGACCCCTTTTCTTTTCCTCTTTTTAAGTTTAGAGCTCTAAGTTGTACTCGGTAGACTCTTCTTTGTCATAGAGAAAGAAAGTGTTAGTCCCTAATTGTTTTTTTAAAAAATTGCCAAAATACAAGAATTTTGAAAGTTTAAATATGGAGTAAGATTTCAATTCATCACTGGAAGGAGAAAGACTATTCAACCGTAAATAATAGCCATTATTACTGTCATATCCCCTTTACACAGAAAATAAACAAAAAACATTACTCCATAGTTGGATTGTTTCCACAGAGAAGATGTTTAGACTGTGCTCTTGTCACTAGATAAAGCTTTGAGGAAAACTGAAATAACTGCAGCATGAGGAATTTGAGGGTCTATATAAAGGGAACACATGGCTTCCCTTCGAACAAGATGATTTAAATATGAATAGCTTTGACTCTTAATTTACAATCTTTTCCAGCTTTGAAGAGACCTTCATGTAACCGACAGCTTTTAAGTTTAGAAGAATGCTTTTTGCAGGAACTTTCCTCACGGGCTGAAGAATCATCAAGGAAGACATCCGTCTTTTATGTAAAATCTAGGCATGTTTGTTTATGTATGCATATTTATGTATCTATATATGTGACTATAGAGAGATATACATATAGATCCTATTTATAAAACAAAAATATAAGTGTCATTTCTTTCAATGTTTAATAATAGCCAAAACTGCAAATTGACCTAGACATTCAAATGCAAAAGCATTAACTGAGAAGACCTGTTTTAGCTGTCCACGTAAGGGTGAAGAATTAGTTACCTGACCATAAGATCTACTGTTGCCACCATACATGGCAGATGCACCCTGTTCAGAAAACAGAGTCATAAGATTTTTGTATAAATCTCCTGAGCTAAGAAAATATGCAGGGCCTTGGTTCTTCCTGTGTAGGAGAAAGAACCTGCCTAGAGTAGCCAGTGTATTTACATGCTCGTCTTAGGCATTGCTACTGTCATATGTAGAGGATCCAACCTGGACAGAAAATAAAAATGAGTCCTGTTTTTAAATAGGGCTGTTCCTTCAGAAAAGACTATTGAACTGTACTCCTGAGTGAAGACAAAGATCAGGATTATTGCTACCTAGTTTATCCTAAATTCATTCTACTAATTGACACTATCAGAAACTTAAACAGGGAGTTTCCTGTGTATCAAATAGCATCCATCTGCATTGAGAACTCTTTTTTTAACATGTCCAAAGAAAATCATTTTTTGACAGTACATAAATAGAAAACATGTTTAACAACACCCTCCCAAATAAACAAGCCTAGTTGTGTGGTTTGCTGTTAGAAACTAAGCTTATATTTTTGCATCAATTTAAGAACACGAGGGAAAAGGCCCTATCAAACTGAAGACTTGCATAAAGAAATCTAGCCATTTCCTTGCAAATTAATTTTATATAGTATTCATTTATGATTACTGATATGAACATTGTGATCACACAACAAAGAAAACAAGTTTTTCCTGATGAAATTTCAGTATTAGTTACTATACAGACTAGATTATATCTTAAAACTACATGTAGGTCAAGATTCCTGCTCAGCCTCAAGGATATGAAAGAAGCAGTTTTTTACTTGACCAAAGTTACTGTTACTATGTGTTGAAGTTAACCAGAACATGCTCAGAAACCAGTTATTTCTTTACACCATTAGTTATTTAAATAGCATGTTGTTTTACAGAAATAGTAACTCACAGTAAGTTTCTTATTGAAATTGAAAAAAAAAATGTATTACACCCTTCAAAAGAGCTTCTGTGAATACAGCTTCAAGAAAAGTTTCTAAAATAACTTTTTAGGCAGAAGACAGGTGACTTCAAAATCCATCTTATCTGTGTTTTAGAACAGGGACAATTTTAATCTGTATCAAACAAGAATCAGAAGTAACAGATATTTCACACTTTGTTACCCTAAAATATTTCCGACTATTCAAAATGTAGAAATACTTGTGTTTTATAGGGTAATAAACATGATAAATTTTAGCAAATAATTCATTAGTATATGATAGAAAGATGTCCCTATCCCCAGTCTCTTAATGGCTGCTTCACACTGCTCCAATTATAGCTACAAAGTTAAGGGCTAAAAGTACATTGCACTCACTCACAAGGGAAGAATGTTCACCTGGCTAAAAGCCAGTACAGCCATAATGCCCATGTAACTACATTCTTTGAGATTTTCCTGGCATGGAGGCATTGCCTAAGAAAAATCTAATGCCACTGTTCACAATGATTGCAATGATTCTCTTTATAGGAAAGGAATAGTTCAAATATTAATTTAAGAGATTATCTTTTGAAATATTTATTCAATTTTGACATTGTAGGCATAGCATTTTCTTGCACCAGTGAGAAGCATAATGAACCTAAGTAAGCAGGATGTAATTACATTTGTGGTTACTAAAATTTTCTGTGTTGACTGTTTTTTGAAAGCAATGAAGAACTAGCATATAACTGTCAGCTGACAGAGCATTTCAATTACCAAGGGCAGTTACAGAAAGTTAGTGGCCAATAGTTAATTATGTTAATTGTTAATTATGCATTCAGAGTCAACTGAAACTCTCTGTTCTGTTTCATTGTATATAATTCTATCCATACTAAGGAAATTATCATTAATGTTTAGTTTTACACAAGTGTCCATATTTACTGGATAATTAATTCAAAGCACTCAGTTATGTAGATGAAAGTATAAATTCAGGGAAAAAAAATTACCTGTCTAATTCCACTGCTTCCATCAGGACAAATGCAACCACCCTGTAGATAAAAAAGGAAACAATTACTGCTTTGTTAAAGTTTGAATAAAATCTTACTTCAGATGTGAAATTCTAGGGGAAGAAAGACCATGAAATTACAGAGTGGCTGTGATCTTTCCTTTACCTAGAAGGAATAAGAAGGCAGTGCAACTCCATACATTCAGTGTTCGTTTTGGAAATTAGACTGACATAAAGATCTTCCAATGCTATGTCTCAATGGCAGCTGCCACATCAAGAGAGAACTATCCGGGAAGTCAAAAGTACGGAGAATCACCTTTGTGCCTTTAACAATATAATGCATGTGAAATTGCAACAGTCTTGAGAAATGATTTCAGGGAACCATTTCAGATAAATGTAATCTAAACAAGGTTATTTCACTTACAATTTAGCGCATAACACTATCAAGCCTGCAAAATTACTGGACTTAAACTCTGACTCCTGAGCTTATATTAATTATTGGGAAGCTATCCGGTCAAGACTAGACAAAAATAAAGAAAATCCTGACCTGGCTACTTGATCCACCACCGGTTGCAATAAAGGATCCATCCTGTGAAGAAACCAATCATTTCTTTTAGAAGCATTTTATCAGATCTAAAGCTTACCTAGGAAAATAACCTAACATGCATATAATTATGTAGTGAGATGCAAGGTGAGAAACTATTTCACTGCACTAATCAACATGATCTACTCAGACCTCTTTGCCTGAATAGCTGTGAAAACGTAGATTCAGATCAAGCTTATTAGTATAGGTATAATCCATAGAGAACGGTATCAGGAAAACCTAATGAAGAAGAGCATTGCTCACTGGAGCTTGGAGATCTGAATGTACTATTGAATTAGACTTCAAACTGTCTGAGAAAGAGGACTATGCTATTGTTACACCTACATAATGCTGGGCACCGCAGGATGTCAGATCTCTGACTGAAGTTGTCAGGCGCTACTATGATACAGAATTTTACGAAAAAAAAAACCCTCAGCTTCCAGTCTAGATCAGTTAAGTTTCAGATAACTCTATAATATAATATACTACTATAGCAGTATGCAAGTTTACTGAATGTGAAGAGCGAACCTACTTTTTGAGACAGAAATACACATTTGCTAAGACACACCTTGATATCAAACTGTAAATGAAATAGAATTATATATTTGGCCATTGCCATCACTAGGTAGGATTGTTTCTAAAACAGATTCTAATACTATTTCTTTGTAATAAGGTGTTTTCAAAATATAAAAACATGATGTAGAGAAACACCTCACTGCTTACCTGCTTAGTGGAGTGAAAGACAGAGGAGAGAGCATATTCTGGGCCCACTATCATTATTTACAGCTGTGCAAAATTATAACATTAAGTGGAAAATGCTGTCTAATCAAAATAGCATTCTTTTACACAGCTAAATTAGTGGAATCTACTTTTCAAAAATTGAAATATGATTTATTAAAAAGCTCCTTGCAATGAGACCATGCACCAGACACATTATTACCTGGAGGTTGGTGTGGTTGCCATTTGAAGTAGAAGATCCATTCTGAAAAGAAAGGAGAAATTACACCTTTTGCTGAGAGCATAATCATTAAAAAATATACTTCTATTGGAAAGGAATCACATAACCCTAAACAGAATGCTCTGTTACGGAAGCTAAATTCTTACTCTTATTTTTCTAGGCAATATACCAAGCAGCTGTAACACCAGCAGTAGTACAGAAAAAGTGACAAGTATCATTTACCTGTACATCATAGTCTCTTTTGCTCAAAACATGTGATGTGTCCTGTAAAAAAACCATAGGAAATATTCATTAAGGCATGAAGAGTCTGATATATATGAAGAGCTATAGGGCTTTTTTTGGTTGCATTTTTTATTTATAGCAACTTCAGACCCTTTAATGCATACACTGAATAGTAATGCCTTATTATAAAAAAAAGTTAATTGTTCATAATTTTTATGGGCTACTGCAGAGTCTGATTTGAAGCACCCTTCTATACCTCCTCCCAGCACACTGAGCACAATAAATTACCAAACACTATTCTTTCTTACTTCATTATTCTATCTTACTTCAGCTAAACATTTTAGCTGTCCTCTGTTTGGATAAGACTCATATAATTTAACTAATCTCAGTTTGGATCAACTGTGCATGTGCTTCCTGAAGAACAGGAAGCTGAGTTGTCCAGTATCTCACAGCAGGATTTTCATGTTTTTTCAAATGTATACAAACTTCCTTTAAAGTAAAAGCATTCAAAGAGCAAATGATAAAGCTCCTTTTCAATTTTGTACTTAAATAATAACTAGGGCAAACATAATTAGGAAAAAAAAGAGCATAATTAAGGCAAAAATCCTATAAGCAATAGAAAAAGAAGTTACTTACGCGTGCAACAACAATCTTTCTGTTTGAACAACCAGAACTCTGCAAAGGAGCCAGAAGCCAGTTATTCTTTGATAGGTGGATCCATCCAAACAAAATACTTTCACCAAAAACCTATCCAAACTTGTCAAGGTGGTGTATGTAGTGTCAGGAAAATGACCAGAATATTCTGATTGACCTCACTTTCACTAGATTACACAGTGGAAAGTATTTGTATTAGAAGTACCTGAAAATAAAAGTAACTAAACTGATAGACTAGTTTTGGAGCAAGAGAGAAAAGTGTCATTTATCTCCTGGAAACCTCACAGAGCATGAATAATAATCAAAATCAATTTAGCCTATTGCTTCCTATGAAACCAATCAGTTTGGACTTAACTGCATCACAACACAGACCTAATAAACTGGGAGAATGCAAGGTCCTCCCTATTTTCAGTGTTTTTTTTTTCAGAAATCAGTATGAGATAGTACAAGCATAAAACATAGTTTGCTTACTAAGTTGTATCTACAAGTGCATTCAAAGGGTGACTCCAATTTTAAATAAACTGGTTTGAGTACTGGTAAGGACGTAGCAACAAGAGCAAAAAATTTGTCTTAAACGCCTCACCTGAATATTAGCCAGTTTCTCAGGAGTTTTGCAACCTGCCTTCAGCTACATGCTGCCACAGCTATCATTTTGTTATCAGGAAGGGTCTTAAATTGCATATTCTTAGGCTGTTTTCACATTATGACTCCTTCATAAGAATTTCCTGCCTAGCAGAGTTTAATGTCTCTGTCAGTGTAACTGTTGTGGTTTAGAGCACAATCTGCGTAATTAACCTTTTTTTTTTTTTCTCTCTCTTTTTAAACTCTGCCCTACCTCCCTTTGCACGAATGTTTAAAAGCAACTTCTTTTACAGCGAGGTCCTGCAACACACCCTGGATAGCAATAATCAAGGCAATAATAGCATCTTCTGTGGGCAAGGGAGGCTGGGATGAGACTCTCTTAAACAGGACTAGCTGCTGAAGGAATTTTTTTGTAGAACCTTTTGCATTAAACTTAATGTAGTGAATGTAAGGTAAATACAAACAAAAGTGAAAAACATTTTTCAGAAGGCCATACTTCTTATTATCAATGTTTGGTGCAGTACTAAAGTAATAGGAAAGACAGGGAAATAAGGAAGCACTAGAGCATATGGCTAAAAATTGAAGGCAAATAGCTAATGACAGAAAGTAACTCTAGATGGCAGTGGCAGTAAAAGCAGAGATGTATCTGTAGCAGATATTGAAAAAAGCTTTTCTATGAACAGAATAAAAGTATGGAAGATTTTCATTCACTTACACAACAGTATCTTTGTTTGATCACATTCTGTTCTCATTAATCACAGTTTCTAATTGTAGGATAGAACAGAAGTCTTGAAGGAGAGAATCTCACCAGAGGATAACTACTATCTTAAAACAACACTGGCATATATGCAAGTTCAAATCAGTGTAAGTGACAAAAGCATGAGGTGGCTACTTGTCTCACATATAGAGATGGTTAATTTCCAAATAAGTATCCGGTCAAAGCAGATATACTAGGGTGCCCTTTGGTTACTAAAAACAGTATTGGTATATTGTACTAGCAGTATTGTGCAGCTGTAAGCAACGGTGTAATAGCCTTGAGAGCTGATTGAAGAAACTCACTACAGAGAAATATAGTATCAAACTTTATCCTCTTGTGTCATTAGTCACAAGAATCTGAATATTGCAGAGAAGAAAAAGCACTTACCTGACCATTAGCACTATATGTAGTGTCATTCTGAAAGGAATAAATTATTTCCTTCTTTAGGAAATTATTTAAATACAGTAAGCTTACAGAAACCTGATTCTTTCTAATGCTGTGTACAGAAATAACCAAATAAATCTTACACACTTAGTCACTCATATCCTTCACTGCCTTGCATGTTGTCTGTTTACGCAGAGAGAAAGAGATATATATATAAAATATAATATATATCAGATATATATTAAGCAGTTTGAAATGTTACCATTCCACTCCAAAAAGCATTTTATACTTACTCTAACTAGGCAGAAATCTAATGTGAAAAGCAGTGGAATATCTGCTACTATATCTCTTTTATTTTCTTCATTGTAGGTATGGAAAGATTGGATGTTTTCTTTCTTGGAAAATTACTGTTAAATGTATTGCTACATTTTGGGCCAAAATTTCTGTAGTACAAAGCCACTGAAATATTTTTACCTGTATTTCATTTCATCAAGTTAAACGCATTTAAAAGATCAGAAAATGTAACTTATCACTCATATGACAATTTTCAATAAAAACCCAAATGTTTCAAGTGATTGTTGAAACAGCTATTAGCGGACTAAACATTCCTTCTGGGTAATTCTGCTCAGAAGACTGCACCTAGTAGTGCAATAGTTTCCCAACTATATGAAAATGTCACAATGACAATATACTGGAGAAAGCATACTCACATCATCACAAGCATTGGGATTATCATCTGAAGAAACCTGTGAATCCTGGAAGGACACCAGATACCAGTTATTTCCTCATAAAAATGGATTGCTAAAGATAAGTTTGTCTGATCTTGAACTCTGCAAGATATAATTGAGACTCATGCAAGGAAAAAGTTGCCTAGTTAAATTAAAAGTAAAATAAGATTTTTATAGGGAAAATAAAGAGTTAAATACATGGCTGTGATAGTTGCTCTCAGAGAATGATCCATCCTTCAGAAAAAAAAATAAAAAAAAAGCTACTCAAGAAGAGCACAGAAACTATTATGCTCCTATTACACTTATGAGGAAGATGATGCAATTTTGAGCAGGGACAACAAAAACTAACAAGAAATAACATATAATTAGGAGAAAGAATGGACTAGTTACCTGATTATCACTATAGCTGTCTGAAGAGGATGATCCACCCTTTAAAAGAAACAAACAAATAAACCAAAATCAGAGAGAATGAGGATACAGAAAACCTGATTTTGAGCAAAGACTAAAGCTTGTATGAAAAAGGTATAAGTAAGAAAATAAAGCTTTACTTACTTGGCCACCTCCATAGTTCTGTGAGGAAAAACAAACAAACAAACAAATAAAAATACTGTATCAGAAGAAACTATGATGTTGATCAGGTACTATGAAGCTGGAATAAACAATTGACTTAGATTCCTTTGGAACAGGTATTATTTTCTAGATAACAATAACCATAATAAGAGGATCTGAATCAAACATGGAGCAGAACAGCTACCTAAGAACGAACCACCATAATCCGATCAGAATTTCTTATCAAACATGATAAAAAAATCCTACCAGGAGAAAATCAAGGTCTACCTACCTGGCTGCCACCATAATGTTGTGAAGATGATGAGCCACTCTGCAAAACAAACAAAATTAGAATAAATATTACAACATTACAGAGCTAATTTTGAACAGAGATAATGGAACCTTGTAAAGCACAACCTCAGTGGGAGGAAATAAAAACCTACTACTTACTTGGCTATCACCATAGTTTTGTGAGGAGTATGATCCACCCTGTAAAAACAAAACAGCAACAATTTACAACACTGGACAACTGAACTTGATAAGAATCCACAGAGCTAGCTTTACTAGGCTGACAATTCTTTCTGTGTAAGTGAAATTACAAAGCTGATACTAAGCATGTTTGAAGGAGATTAGTTAAAAACTGGAACCAGAGAGACTCTGCAAGAGTCTCAGGAGCAAGGGAATTGCACTCTGAATTAGAACTGCTTAAAAAGCATTTACCAATGGATAAGAAAGAGCTACCCACCTGGCTACCACCCTGTGATCCATCCTGTAAATTAGACAAAAAGGATGAATACTTTCAATACTTACTGTTTGACTATCGATTATTTGAAAGAAAGCTATAGGTACTTGCTTAAGGGGAGGGAGCATCAGAGGAGGATACACAACGTAGATATGATTTCTGACTTAATAACAATGGATTGCTAAGTGTAGCAGGAAATGCTAAATGAGACATAGGTCAAGGGACTACAAGCATTTATTTTTTAACCAATGTCCAAAACACTGATGGCTTTCATTCTTAGCAGTCTCTAGAGCATGTATCTTTTCTCCTCCTGTAGAAAACTTGACTTACATGAACAGAATGAAAAGTTCCTCTGGTGGCATTTATACAGAGAAAGTTGTGAGTTTGTCACATAAACTGGCTTTGAGGAGAGGGTTTTACATAAGGCACGAGGTATGTTTCAACATGTTCCCCTTAGAAGAGGAATGCTACTACTCAAAGTGAAATCAGAAGAGACCTTTGTAGTAATACCAGTGTCAAAAGTGCACAGTAAAAGTTAAATCCTGAACCATTAAAAAGAGTGGGACATTTGCCGTTCACTTAAACTGGGCTGAGATTTTATCCAGAAGAGAGAGGTTTTTCATTTCTTCTCACTTTGTCTATGTTTCCTTGTTTTAGCAGTTTTTAGAAGAAACAAAATATTTCCTTTAGTCTTAGAAAGAAATAGCTTTTCTTTACAGAAAAAAGCTTGAAATGCAATTATAAATGATACTATATTTAATAAACTATATATTATACATTTATAGAATATATATTGTAACATATTATTATTTCAAGTTATAATAATATATTACATATAGCATATTAAACCTTCTGATTTTTCAGTTTCCTGGCTGGTGGAAAAGCAATGAGAAAAATCAAGAGAAGTAACAGGAATTAAAAAAAAAAAGGATAGTCTATTGTTGTTTCCTTAATAAGTTTTAATATTTATAGAGCTTGTTTCTTTAAACGTAACAGAAATCTCATAAGATAGTGTTCCAGCAGTGAAACTTGCAACAAATGCAAATGTAGCTATTTATACTGTGCTGCACAAATTAAATGAGATTTTAAGCCAGTCTCTCTTTCAGGAAACCCAAGTGGCTATCCTAAAATACTTCTCTGACATTTGATGGCAAAAATCTAGAGGAATGCTGGCTAGCTCCAGCCTTGACTTAAATACTGCCAGTTCAGCAGCTCTGCAAGGGACTTGTTCTTTTCAGAATCTGGCCAAATCATCTTATAGAGCCAGACATTTCATAGCCATAATGCTGGGGGGTGGGAAAAAAACCTCAAGCCCCTGCCACGTTCCTATGTATATGAAGATAGTGAATTCCAGTGCCATAATTAATAAGATTACATGGATTTGCATTCTGTGAATGTGAGGTAGGTACCACCTAACTCAGTGACAAAACTCAGTTCGGATAAATCTTAAACTCAGAGGAGGAAAGTCATTTACCTGGTGGCAGGGATTGCTATCATACGAAGTACCCTGTTTAAAAACAAAACAAAATGAAACAAAAGGTAAATCCCCAAACTTTCATTTTCTTGCAAAGTAATCACCTTTCTTCTTAAAATTTCTTATGTGAGAATTAATGTAACAAAACTCAACATAAGGCTTTGCAGTAGGTGAGTTTTGTTTTATTTAACCTTTTAAGTTTGTGATTCTGCCCTCTGACACTCTCCTACCTACAAACTCACAAGCACCAAATCGTATGCAAAAATAATTGAGGCAGGATTACTTGGGTACAATAAGGAAAGTGAGGTAGGCTGGCAATTGAGGTCTCTCTGTATCATCCTCATTCCTCTTGAGCGGCCAAGATGAACTGTTTTTCTGGACAGTCCTTTTAGGAAGCAGCAATCATTGCAGTATGATCTTTTACCTCAGAACCTTGCTAGCTTCACCCATCATAAATCTTAGGCAAGGTTACTACTGCCCACTTTATTTTGTTTCCTTGTCTGTGGTTATCTTCTGGCTATAATCTATCTTCCTGGTGGGACAACAGGACGAGAACTGACACACACAATGTGTTGTACCCTGGTTGCCATCCTCCTGTTATTATAGCACAGGTCTTAGGCCGATAAGTCATCTGTGACATAGCCTTGGCAGAAGCCACATTCTGCAGTGTTTATCAGTTTCACTGCTGTTAATTGTGTCCTTTGCTACTGATGCATGCCGTTTTTAGACCTTGTACTGCTACTTATGATCCTTTACACAAGTATTTCTATTCATCCTTCATTGATACCAATCTTAATATTTCTGCTACAAATTTCTGTACTTCTTTTTCATTCTCACTGATTTCCCCAACATATTTATTTGTGCTTAGGTTTACTATCATGGCCTCACCTATGCCCTTTTCCTTAGCTAGGATCTCATTGCTGAAGATGCATTCCTTATACTACTGTAGACTATACACAAAACGAAGCAGAACTAGGATAAAAACTACTATCTCTACGCTTACTCCACAGGAGCGACTCTATGATCTTATCATATTTTCTTGGAACTAAATGGGGCAACATTCAAAAATCAAGTCAAGCAAATGCTTTATCTATTTACTGAATAGAGAGATGAATCACTTGTACCTCTTCTGTGTGTAACAGCATATCCGAGAAGCCACTTGACTTAGGCTAACATTTTGGGGCATTGTAACCATTCTTGACCACTGGGCTAGATAATTTCATATACAAATGAAAAAAAAAGTGCCCACTAATAGACATTATACAACCTACTGAAAAATAGGTAACTATTACATAGAAGGCTGGGTTTAGTTTTCAAACAGTTTGGAAAAAGGGAACTTACCTGTCCACAACCACTGCTACCATCTGAAGAGGGATATCCACCCTGCTGGAAAAAATACAGCAGCTCAGTAACTTATTTCATTTTATATAGATTTTTCTTTTTTTAAACAATCCAAATATTCCTTTCCCAAATTTGCAATATAGAAGTAAGTTTAAAAGGACTTTAGTTGCCTGACAGCTTAAGAGGAAGAGGACCAGCTATGTCATACTGTGAATTTTCTTCTAAAGTATTGTGCAGGACGGATATTAAATTGGATGGAAAACGATGACACCTACATGTATTCCTTTTCTGTGGCAAAGATCTAATTCAATAAACCTATTGCTCCTCAACTCATAGGAAAACAAAAGTTAATTTCAGGGAGAAAGTACTATATAAATTCAATAAAGAAATTCCACAGAACTCTTAATACATACTTGGGAATACCACAGATAGGCAGTACACCCTTTCATAATGTAACTATGATATGAAAATTAGTTAAAATGTCAATAATATCAAAAAAACCACTCTATACAATTTCAAGTCCAAGAGTTATATACTACCAAAGAAAAGATCTTTTAAAGGTCAAATTCTGAGAGATTGCATGCCATTTTTGCAGGGCCCTAACAGTCCCCTTTCTCAAATGCAATATGCTGACCGGTGCTTACCTGGCCGTAGGAACTGCCACCTTGAGGCTGGTAGCCCTGCAAGAAAGGCAAGAATTCATCTGTAAATGAAGCTGCACTCTTTTGCACAGCTGCAACAGCAACGCCTACTTTTTCCATTAAAGCTTCCTCTGCTCTGCGGCATTTTTCATACTTTCAACGCTACAACTCAAAACCAGGACCATTCAGCAACACCAAAAAAGAAAAACCCAAGCCCAAAACCCAAACATCCATTCACAAAGCAGGCCACTACAAAAACTTTCAATATGTTTCAGCGCACAAAAAGAAAAAAAGAAAAAAGGAAAAAGGAAAAAAAAACTCAACTGGCCAACCGGCCATAGGACTGGCTGCCTTGGGAACCCTTTAAAAGAGAGATGATGATTATCAATCCTTGGCAAGGAGTTTTTTCAAAGAACATCATGACTGCACAAACACATCTGCACAAGGGCTTTGTGCAAACGCCAAGTGCTTTGTGCAAACGCTCTTCCTGGGTCAAAAGAGACAGGGCAGCGCGCTATCATCCGCAGGACAGATTGTCCTACCCACAGCAAAGGTCACGAGTCAAACTGAGGCTCAGAACACCAAATGAAACAAATCATTCCTAAAAATCTGCCAGCCGTGCGGGTCACAAGGGAGATCAGTGGAGAGCTCCCTACTGAAGATCAGGTTTGCTTACCTGGCCATAAGAGCTGCTGCTGCTGCTCCCCGAGTAACTTGGCCCACCCTAAGACAAGGACACCGTCCAGTTACTTCCCTTTCACAAGGGACTGATCAGCTACCAGCCTGCTCTAGCAAAAGCAAGCTCCTATGTCCTACAGCTGCACGCGGCAGAGTGAAGAGCCAGGCTTTTCTCCCGACAGCCACTCTGATGCTGAGCAAGATGATTTCCGACGCCGGGGTTTCAAATAAACAAACAGCACGTGGACTACTCGAAACCGTGGGA